ACTTTAGTTATGATAGGTCATAGTAGAAATGGATTGCGGGTTTTTTGTAGTTGAAAAAAATAAAAATTTTCACATTATCAGTGAAAACCACATTAGAAAGAGACATTTTGAAAATTGAATTTATTTTAAATAAGCTTGGTAGCAGGTATTCTAGCAGAGAAAATGCCTCTAAGATGTCAAAATGCATTTTTAAGAGTTAAAAGAACCACATGCCTTGGAAGTTGTTTGCTGATATCTAAAATATTCCTAAATTTTTATATACTGTACTTTATTTATTTGAGCTGGCCATACAGTTTTAATTAGTTTCACTGTGGTCGAATTAGCTTCATTAAAGTAGATGCCCTCCATGGCAAGATAAATGGCAGCCTTATGTACCACAGATTTCTGACATAAACTATAATTCATAAAGGCCAACACAACTCTTTTCTTTGTAGCTGGGTAACCATTTATGTTTGAGGTGAAGATGTTAATATGGAAATTTTGTGAGCTAGGAAAGAGGACGAATGCTATCATTCTAATTTATGACCTTTCATATAAGGCCAAATGTAAAGGCAACTTCAATTGTTTTATATCTCAGGGCCAGCACATAGCAGATGTATGAAATTTGGAGTGTTAGGCATAAACTTTTATTACCAAATTATAAATAATTTCTCCCACTTATAATGTTCACCTTTCAAGTTCATCTTGATTAAAATACAAGGGCAGCATCACACCAATTTCACTGAATTTTACAGCTGAGAGAGGTTTTCTAGAGTTCACAGCAGAGCATAAAGCATCAGGGCATTTGGAAGACTCTCCTCACAGGAATTCAGACCATGAGCCCATCTCTTTGAAATTCAAAATGATGGTCAGTGAAGTCTGAACATGTATTTAAACATCTCAAACATTACATCTGAAACCAAGTGCCCATGATGTAGGATATATTTTATCTTTTGATAAAAATAAAAGGCACACTGCCTTTCCTGAGAAATTTGTCCATCAGTCAATAAGTTTATATTCCTTCACAGAAGATATTACAGTATAGTGCTGAATAACAGAGACATTGGCCTCACCCTCATAGAACAGACAGTCTAGTGAGGGAGGATATAAATATATACACAGACACACACATAGACACATAAAGTTATTTAATTGCAGAATTTATAAGTGATACAAAGATTTATAGTGTACTATGATCATGAACAAGAGGAAGAACCCAATTCAGCCTGAGGGATTATCAAAGCCTTTCTTAAGGAATTTATGTATGAGCTAAGACCTAAGCATACTGAGGAGCTGGCCGGGTGAAGAAGGTGGGACTGGGCTCCAAATAATGAAACCAGATTTAGGGCTGTCACAAAAATCCAGCAGGTGATACGGTTTGTATTGTTTATGGAGAAGGAAGAATGGAAGTGAGTGACAGTTTTTAAGCCTGTGAGCCAAGAGACAAGATATTGACTCCATTTGATGTAGAGAACTGGAATTGAAACCCCTGCATAAAAGTGGGATAGTGGAAAGGCTACATTGTGAAGAAGACAAAGATGAAGAAGAAATTCAGCAACTATAGAATGTCTTTTTTTAAAAGATTTATTTATTTATTCATGAGAAACACGCAGAGAGAGAGAGAGAGAGGCAGAGACACAGGCAGAGGGAGAAGCAGGTTCCATGCAGGGAGCCCAACATGGGACTCGATCTGGGGTCTCCAGGATCCTGCCCCGGGCCGAAGGCGGCACTAAACCGCTGAGCCACCCGGGCTGCCCAGAATGTCGTTTTTCTCATCTTCTTTAACAAATACTTTTCACATCCCATGATAAAAGGTAGATGATAGTGGTCCAAATACCCTAAACTAGGATGTGACAGGTTAAGTGTTTTTATTGTCCAGTCTGAAGATCCAGATAGGTCCAAGTGCAAGCCAGCACTTCATACCAGGTAATGCATTTGCTGGAACAAGACCAGCCAGTATTCTTAGAAGCATAACACCTATTAGTTACTAAAACCTGCTTTGGAAACTGTTGGCCAATCCAATTCCATATTCATATCTATCATTATCAGCATCAACATAATACAATTACCCACATATCCACAATATTGTTTGGTGTTTTATAAAATAAGCTAAGCATGATACCTTCTCTTATGAACATGAAACACTGAAACACATAGTTTTTTTTAGAGGAACAGGACTATAGATATGTGGACAAAGAGTTAGATGGCAAGAGTTCTAACTTGGTTTTTTATACCAACATTTGCCTATTTTGAGCCTAATAGCCTCAAGAGAACAAGAAGACAGGGCCCAGACTGGGAGAAAATGTTTGCAAAAAGACATATCTAATAAAGGACTTTTCCAAAATATACAGTGGACTCTTAAAACTCAACAATAAAAAAGGACAATCTGATTTTAAAATGGGCAAAAGATCAGAAGATATACAGATGGCAAATAAGCATATAAAAAGATGCTTCACATCATATGTACATAGGGATTTGCAAATTAAAACTGCAATGAAATTCCACAAGCTATCTATGAGAATAGCCAAATCCAAAACCCTGGCAACAGCAAATGCTGGTGTGGGTGTGGAGCAACAGGAACACTCAGACATAGCTGATAGGCATGCAAAAGGGTGCAGCCACTTTGGAAGACAGCTTGACAGTTTCTTACAAAATTAAACACATTCTCGGCATACAATTCAGCAAATGCGCTTCTCGGTATTTATCCAAGGGAGCTAAAAACTTTGGTCCACACTAAAACCTATACATGGATGTTTATAGTGGCTCTATTCATAACTGCCAAAAATTTATAAGCAAACTAGAGGTCCTTTAGTAAGAGAATGAACAAATTGTGGTACATCTAGAAAATGGAATATTATCCAACACTAAAAAATGAGTTATCAAACCATAAAAAGACATGAAGAAAACTTAAATGTACACTTCCAAGTGAAAGAAGCCAATCTAAAAGGGCTATGTACTATATGATTCCAGCTTTTTGGTATTCTGGAAAAGGCAAAACCATGCAGACATTAAAAAGACCAGTGGGTTGCCAGGGGTTAGTGGGGAGAGAGGGATGAATAGAGCACAGAGGGTTTTTACAGCAGTGACAATACTTGGCATGACACAGTTATGGTGGATACATGTCATTAGAAGTTTCTCAAAACCTATAGAATGTGCAACCCCAAGAGTGAACCCTAACATAAACTATAGACTGGGTTGGGTGATAATGATGTATCAATATAGATTTACCAATTTTAACATCTTAGCTAAACTAAGCTAAACTAAAGCTTGTCAGCTTTTATTTATGACTTTAGGGATCCTTAATCAATGAATATTTGTGTTCAGGGTTTTTACAAATATTTTATTTATTTATTCATGAGAGACACAGGGAAAGAGAGGCAGAGGGAGAAGCAGGCTCCCTGCAGGGAGCCCCATGTGGGACTCGATCTTAGGACCTCAGGATCACGCCCTGAGCCAAAGGCAGATGCTCAACCACTGAGCCACCCAGGGGCCCCTGTGTTCAGGGTTCTGAAGCACTAGAAGTTGTCTTGGTGGACTGACATTCAGAAGAAGTCTTGCACATGTTTTCTTTGTATAATAAAAAAAAAAATGTTAAAGAAAAACTTGTGAAACATGGAATGTTGCCTTGTGAATCACTAAAAGCCAATTATAAGGGGCTGAGGGGATTCTGGGCACAACTACATTTTGATAATTGTAGTTTATCAATGGTGCCTGCTGCACTGGTCCAGCGGGGCCCTCAGATCCATGCCTCTTGGAAGAGGTAGCAACTATGTCTGCAGATGAACCATGCCCTCAAAACTCCTCATTGCCTCCTGCCTACCGCACCCGTCCTAATGACTCCACCAGGGCTCTATAGCAATGAGAAAAAAGCTACGAATCAAAAAATTATTTTTTATGAATCACTGAAACAACCAGTGAGGAATATAGTACAATTTGAGGTCTGTTGTGAGGAAGGCTTTTTAGGGACAGGGTTTTCTTTATATCTGATTATGTCTGTTCTTCGCAGCTAATTATTTTATTTAAGTGATACTTAATTTTTTCACATTGTATCTTATGTGATACATAAGAGCTTCAAATAAAGCCTTTTCAAGAAATCTGTAATGCTTGGTTTTTGCCCAAAGTGAGCTTTTCTGGAAGGATATAAGGAAATCTCTTGTCACCACCAAATCACACCCAGTTGTTCTCTGGCCGTCATATCAATCAAAGATTCATTTCTTCAGCTAAGACAGGTTTACGAGAGGGGAAACTCATGTAGATCTTAGGGAAAAAACCCTGCATCTTAGATCTATACCACTTAAGAGTCTGTCCAAAGATGTTATCTCTTTGTTCAGAGTGCTGCAAATCACAAGCAGAATCAAAGTATACGTTTTAAGTTGAGGGTATGTGTGTGAGGGAAAAAAGGAATCAAGTGTTGGTATAACACTTTACTTCTTTTTCTTCGCCCTTTCCATTAATAGCAAGAATATTGAGAACTCATGCAGAATTCCAAACCAAGTTCCCATAGCAGCACTCGACTAAAGCCTGCATACCACTTCCAACTAGAACTAGATTGTAATGTAACGCAAGTCCTACCATTATAATACGGAGCTACTTTAGGGGCTTTAATTCTTTTTGTGGCAATTACGTTGCCATGGAAACAATCTCCTGCTAATAATGACTTCATCACACAATCAAAATCCAAAGTGGATTTAAGGATTTGAGGATGCCCGCTTTATTTATTTGCATTAACTTATTCAAGGACCTTGCCGAGCCCGTATACTATGACTATTACGTTAGTGGTAAATTCCAGTTTAGTAGGACCTCAAGCTATTTCTTGCATTTCTGCCTAAAGGAAATCCTGCCTAAAAGATCACTTCCAGGCTTCGTTTTGTTTTAAGTATTTCAAGGGGTGTTTGCTTTCTGCTAAGAGGTAGCGGCAGCTCTTTCTCCTCTGACCGCCAAAGCCCCAACTTTGCCTTCGGGCCAAACGAGAGACTCCCGGCTTGGCGCACGCGGCGCAGCGCGGCCTTCTTGGGCCCCGCAGGCTGCCGTAGCCCGGAAGGGCGCTCCCCGGCGGCCGCAGAGGCGCGCCGCCTGCTCCGGCAGTTTCACTTTCGGTTTCGCCCGGGCTTCGGCGGAGGCCCGAGCTGCGCGCCACCTGGAGCGGGGGTTTGGGTCCCGGCCGCCAGGTGAGCCGGGCGGTGTTCGCTGGCCCGGGGTGGGTGTGGGGAGCAGCAGCCGGGAGGTGGGCCGCGCGGACCCCAGGGGCCCGGCCCAGAGCCCCCCGGAGGGGCGATGGACCCCGCGGGCGCCGCCGCGGCACCCCCCCCCCCCCCGCCCGGCGCCGCCGACCTGCCTTCCGAGACCGGGGCTGCTGGCGGGTTCCTCGCCGGCGGGGTGGGCGGGAAAGCGGGCCGCGGGGCCCCGTGGGCCGCGCCCGGTTCCGAGGGCTCCAGGGCCGCCGCGGCCTCGTCCACGCCCACGTCGGGGTGGCTCCCCTGCCCGGGAATCTAGAGCTGGACGCGCCCACCTTACCGGGGCCTCGGGCCGCGGGCGCCCGCAGGGTACGGCGTCGAGTCCTCCCGCCGGGGCGGCCGCGGAGGAGCGCGCGCTCGCGGCTCGCGGGTGTGTGCGCGCGGCTGGAGCAGGGGATGGGGCCCTAGGGTGCCCCCCCCCCCCCATGCCGCAGAGGCTCAACAAGGCTGTTGAGATGCTGGAATCAGAAGCGCTTAGCGAAGAAAGTAATACTCACCGAATCCCTCCCATCTTTACTCTTGTGCGTGCTTCCTTCTGTTTGAGCTAAGACTACCTGTTCGGTCAGTTAACAGTACAGATAAGTTGTCCGCTTTCATTGAAAAGTGCCTCTTAAACGCCATTTCTGATTTTGCACCTTTTGGTGGGCTGCCTGTTCTGTCCTGGTGTAGGTCCCGTAAATTATCCAGCCATTTCCCCGGCTGTGAGGCATTTAGGGTGTTTGTGAATTTTTGTTTCATCTTAGCATCCCAGGTGGTACTTTGATAAACGTTGTTTTTAAAACTGTGTTTCGGATGATTCACTTGGATTGATTCTGAGCAAGGACATTTTTACAATAGGTGCTGTGCTCTACTAGTAAGGTCTCTTCAGATCTACAGACCCCTTGCCAAATTGTTTTCCAGGAGAGTTCTAGCAGTTTACATTTCATGTAAGGTTGTGCCTGTTTTCACCAAAAGTATGATAGCTCATAAAATGTATTTCTAATACGTCACGCTCACTTTGGTTTTTTTTTTTTATTTTTTTTTATTTTTTTATGGTGGTGTTTCATAATGCCAATTGCTTGAATTTTGTGCAGGAGTCTAGAGAATTATCTTGGGTTTGTGTCTGTGTGTGTGTAAAAGTATTACTGGAGTTGCTGCATAGGCTGACAATGTTAGAGCAGGATGATCTCTTAAGTGGTCATCCAGCATAACTCCCTTATTTTGCAGATGAGGAACCTGGGGCCTTGAGAGGTGAAATGATGAGTTCTCCAAGGTTTACAGCTAAATTAAGTAGCAGAACTGGGATTAGAATTCAGGTTTCCTATCTCCCAAGTGAGTACTCCTTATGCTGCATTGGGTGGTCTCTCACTAAACTGTGGCATACTTGTATGAGCATTTTTAAAGATCTTGGCATCACTTGAATTATTTTGTCCTGTTAGAAATAACAGAGATTTTAGTCATCTGAGGGAAGTGTAACACTTGGGAAATTGACCATTTTCAGGACTGGGACTAGAAATCCATTACTTAAAATGGCAACCCTTCCAAGATTTTTTTTTTTTGAAGATTTTATTTATTCATTCATCAGAGAGAGAGAGAGAGAGAGAGAGAGAGAGAGACAGGCAGAGGGAAAAGCAGGCTCCACGCAGGGAGCCTGATGCAGGACTCGATCCCAGGACTCCAGGATCGCTCCCCGGACCAAAGGCAGGCACCAAACCGCTGAGCCACCCAGGGATTCCCCCCCTTCAAGATTTCTTGACAGTTGTTTTCAGATTCCCTTTATGTCAGGATAAAGTATCTAAAAAGTTAGAATTTGTACTCGATCATCTGATTAGAATTGAGCTGTTTGTTCTCATTTGTTATACCTTGAAAGTTTTTTAAAACTCCTTGTTGCTTTAATACTATAGAACAATGGTTTTTTTGATAAAGGGTTTATAATAACAGAGTTTTTCAACCTCAGTTGACATTTTGGGCCGGATAATCCTTTGCTGTGGAGCACTGTCCTGTGCTTTTTTGAATGTTAAGCAACATCCTTGGCCTCTATGTCCTAGCACCACCCTCCTCATTCAAGACAGTCCAGAATGTCTCCAGATGTCTGCATTTGCTTACAGGAATCATTTGGGAAGCTTTATAAAATGTCAGTTACGGTGCCCCTTGCCTGAGGAGTCTGACTAGGAGTAGTAGGCTTCAGGAATCTGCATTTTAACAAGCATCTCTGTTGACTCGGATGCAGCTGGTTCTTGTACAACACAGAAACATTTCTATTTTCTTTGTCTTTTATTTGGTGGTCAGTAGCAGAGATATGACTGTGGTATAGCCATTTAAGTGCACAGATGATGCAGTGCTAGTCACTATACCCATAGTTTGCGGGTAGCGGTGAAAGGGACAGGGATTTTCCTTGGCACTGTCCTCAAATGTCTCCCACAGGATTGGCCCGTGAGCTTAGGTTCCTTTTCCCCTGTCTCTGAGAAGCTTAGAACCTACTGTGGGAGACTGATCAACAGGAAAACTGCAGAACAGCCTGCTAAATGGGAAGGGGTGCTCTCTGAGTGCTGGATTCATGGCTGGAGTGAGAGAGGGGAGGAAAGTGGCCCTCTCTTGGATGGGGAGGAGGAATTGGTATGAATCCTTCAGAAGAGGGCTAGGTACCCCTTCTGTCCGAGAAGGGAGATATTTTGAGAGCTGTTTTCAGTGTCTGATGCCCTCAGTAGGTGAAAGTTTACAGGTAAACATTGCCAAGAAACAAGGATTTGCATGCCTTCTGCTCAGTGATGTAACTCAATCACATTAGATGTACTGCTTAACCTTTAACCATTGTATTTCTCCGCAGGCTAGTTTACAGCACTTTGTCACTTGAGGCAGTTTTCCTGCAGTGCTCCTACCCTCCAGCTGGATCTCCCCTACATCTCCATATATGTCTGTGGCCATTCCCCACACGTAAGGGGAGAATCTAGACATACTCCAAAGGGCAGCTTTGAAAGGGCTGAGGCTTCCTTAGTTCTGCTTACCACCTTGCAGGGTTACTGTGAATCACTCGTGAATCTAACAACCAGGCACATAGTTGGATGAATAAAATTTGGTTCTTTTTTCCCTCCATTCTTCTACTAAAAAAAAATCTCTGCAGGGCAGTTTGCAGATGTTCTTATACTAGACCTCTCAGTAGCTTCTGGCAGAAAATATACTGCCTTTGACTTAATAGCCATTTCTGAAAATAGGTCATTTAAAACAAACCTGAGTAGGAGTCAGGGGAGGGAGAGAGGCATAGAGGTGATTATGGCTTTAATTTTGAAGGGAGAAGTTTTATCAAGGTGACCCTGCAGAAAGGAGGCCTTTTTCCTCTTATGTGTTTATGGTTCAAGAGGCTTCTCTCTTGCTTCAGACATGTCCAGAACTCTGCCTTCTGCCTTAACCAATTTAAAAGATGAACACTTAAAATTACATGAGCCAAGTGGTGGGAAAAATTGTGATGTTGAGACCAATTTACTCATACAAAATGGATTTATGGGCAAGTCATTAAGTAACAGGGAGTACCAAGGAAGCCTAATGAAGATGAATGTAGAAGATGTGGTCTCTTAGAGTGATGGATAAAATGCGTTCGAAGCAGCCACCCTCTTTTCAAATAACTTTTGAAATGTATTTTTTTTTTTCCAAGAGATTTAGCAGAATGTAGATGTCCTGGAGAAAAAAAAATGACAAGCCTGGTAGTAGTCTTTCCTTTCACGTGGCTTTTGAGGGAGAAAAGACTTGTATAGAAAAGGTGGAGATTGTAAGAGAATAGTGACAGGTTCCACCGAGTACAGCCAGGTAGGGGAATGGCGCTGCCAGAACCAGCTGAGGCGGCCCACTTGCACTGCCTGCGCAGGCCTCTGCCTATGACCCTCTCGTGTTCTTTGCGCCTGACACGGTAGTCCCCAGACTGGCGAGGCATGTGCAGACCGGTTCCTGGGCTCTTCTCCAGACCCACTGAAGCAGAATCTCCAAGTAAGCCCATCAATTCATGCTAGGAAACTGACCTGGCGGCTCAAGTTCAAGCTCTCCCAGCCTGGCTTGGCTTGCCGAGCTTGCCAGGAATGTGGTCCTGCCACACACACCCCGGCTGCATATGCATACACACACACACACACACACACACACACACACGCCTGCCACACACACCCTGGCTACACACACACACACATACATACATACATGCCTGCCACACACACACACACACACACACCGGCTACATTTCATCCTCTTGGCTGCAACATTTTCTCCTCAATCCCAAACACATGTCCATTGCTTTTGCTAGGATTTCTGTCCTTTCAGACTCGGCCCTCCTTTTCCTTCCCACTGAGCGCTGGTGTCACCTCCGGAAAGCCCTTGTCCTGCCCAGCCTGTGCTCATGGAGCTGCTTTCTCTGTGCACTAGTCTCTGCATAATTCTATCCCAAGACATACAGCTTTTATTTTTATTTTTTTTATTTTTTAAATTTTTATTTATTTATGATAGTCACAGAAAGAGAGAGAGAGAGAGAGGCAGAGACACAGGCAGAGGGAAAAGCAGGCTCCATGCACTGGGAGCCCGACGTGGGATTTGATCCCAGGTCTCCAGGATCGTGCCCCGGGCCAAAGGCAGGCTCCAAACCGCTGCGCCACCCAGGGATCCCCGACATACAGCTTTTAAAAAGTTCTCCATTGATGTGTTTCTGTGCCTGCTTTGGAGTGTACCCTCTGAGGGCCTGAGGCTGTGTGGAACATGTTAACAACGTTGCACGCATAGCCTGTGCACCTGACCCTTTGATGCTGAACGAAAGTTTGAGGTATGGAACACCTTCAGGAAGAGAGTGATGCTAATCCGAGTAAACATGTGGCTTCGTAACAGAGCTGTGACCTTTGATGAGCTTAGAAGAGAAGAGTTTTACCTATTCTTTTTTAAAAAAAAATGAAGAAAGAAGATGAATAATGTTTTTTAAAAATAGCTAATACCAGCATTTATCTAGGCTTGTATTTTTTTCTGTATAAACTTTTAACTTTGGACACAGGGTAGTTAATAATATTCCTGTCAACTAGATTTTCACATGACCATACATCTCAGTGATTTTTTTAAAAAAAATCTTTTTATAAAGATCTTATTTATTTGAGAGAGACAGAGAGAGAGACAGACCATGTACAAGCAAGGTGAGTGGCAGAGGGAGAGGGAGAAGCAGGCTCCCCCCAGAGCAGGGAGCCTGATGCAGGACTCCATCCCAGGACCCTGGGATCATGATCTGAGATGAAGGCAGACATTAAACCAACTGAGCCACCCAGGCGTCCGCCTCCTTAGTGTTTATTTTTTGTTTTGTTTTTTCAACACAAAGTAAACAGTTAGTTTCATCTCAGTCTTGTACCTAGAAAGAAAGTACCATCATGGGATTTTGCATACGATAGGAAATGTATCTGACTCGAGCTGAGTCTCAATCAGGCCCTTAGAGTTTATAGTCTCTCTAGACCTGTTCAGCCACAAAACAGCACGTGTTTGGGACATAAATAAGGCAGTTTATAGATGAATGGGAAGATTTGTTTGTTTTTACTAAACTCATCAAGAGTACTGAGTCTGTTACAGGATTTACTTTGTAACATTTTTTCTTGCACTCACAACAGTGTAAATAAAATTGTGTGGTCTGAGTCTGGAATGAATAGTGGTCGTCCTGAATAGTAGTTGTAATTCCAGATATTGACTGAGACTCTAACTAAAAACAAAAAAACAAAAACAAAAAAAAAACGGGCAATCCAGTTAAATTAAAATTTGCTGAGTAAAATAATTAGCTGATCCCGTTTGATCCCATCTTTCAAACCTTGGGGAGATGGAATACAGAATGGTCCAAAGAACAGCCCAAAATTTAAGAATACTTTGTGAAATTTGCATTTTCTTTTATTTAACTTAAGATGTTGACTTTTTGTAATTAAAGAGAATTATTTCACTTAAATTATAATCACTTTTGTTTACTCACACCCTTTGAACAAGAGTTTAAATTCTTCTGGATTTTAAGTTCTTTAAGGTCAGAACTTGTGTGAATGCCATGTTTTTGAATTTCCCAGAAAATATGTGTGCACATGTATGTATTTGTTGAAGAAATGAAAAGCCATTAACTGAGCATTCTAGCTTACCCAGACTGCTTAAGCTGGCACAGATTCACTGTGAGAAAAATCTCCAAACGATGTTCCTGAACTTGTACTCAGATCATGGAGTGGCTGAGAGAAGTAAGCAGTGCTGTTTATGAAAGAAAGTGTTATGAAAATCCTGATTAAAAACGATTTGAGTTCTTGAGGAGAGTCCTTAAGATATTGTATCCATACTGATTTTTTAAAAATTCTTTAAAAATATTTTATTTATTTATTCATGAGAGACACAGAGAGAGAGGCAGAGACACAGGCAGAGGGAGAGGCAGGCTCCATGCAGGGAGCCCGATGTGGGACTCCCTCCCTGGTCTCCAGGATCAGGCCCTGGGCTGAAGGCAGCGCTAAACTGCTGAGCCACCTAAACTGCTGAGCCACGGGGCTGCTCTCCATCCGGATTGTTAAGTGTCCGTGTCCCTACTATATGGCTACTAAATAGCAGTGAGCTGAATTTGAAACAAACACATTTTCCAAAGTCCTCTTGCTGGCAGTTTTTGCTTAAGTAACTACAGTTTGTTACATTTGTTTACCAAAATATTTTGAGCCAGGAAACTGTTGTATAACAAGATGAATTTGGAAAGGAGTGATTGGCAACTATGTATGTTTGATTCGGGTATATAATGTTCTGTCTGTATTTCAGACTCCTATTCTTGAATTTCAAGACTGTTTTTTTACTAAAAGGCAACCTATGGAAAGGGAAAAGATATTGCAAATGACATTTCTGATAAAGGGTTAGTATAAAAAAAAAAGAGTTAGTATACAAAATATAGAAAGAACTTCTAAAACTCAACACCCCAAAACCAAATAATACAATTAAAAAATGGGCAGAAGATATGAACAGACATTCTCCAAAGAAGACACACAGATGGCCAACAGACACTTGAAAACATGCTCAGTGTCATTAATTATCAAGGAGATGCAAATCAAAACTACAATGAGATATTACCTCATACCTGTCAGAATGACTGAAATCAACAACACAAGAAACAAGTATTGATGAGAATGTGGGGGGAAAGGAACACTCTTGTACTGTAGGTGGGCATGTAAACTGTTGTAGCCACTCTGGAAAACTGTATGGAGATTCCTCAAAAAGTTAAAAATAGAACTACCCCATGATCCAGCAATCACACTAGGTATTTACCCAAAGAATACAAAAATACTAATTCAGGGATCCCTGGGTGGCGCAGCGGTTTGGCGCCTGCCTTTGGCCCAGGGCGCGATCCTGGAGACCCGGGATCGAATCCCGCATCGGGCTCCCGGTGCATGGAGCCTGCTTCTCCCTCTGCCGGTGTCTCTGCCTCTCTCTCACTGTGTGCCTATCATAAATTAAAAAAAAAAAAAAATACTAATTCAAAGGGATACATGCACCGTTGTTCATAGAGCATTATCTGCCATAGCCAAACTATGGAAGTAGCCCAAGTGTTCATCAACTGATGAATGGGTAAAGAAGAGGTGGTGTGTGTGTGTGATGTGTATGAAACAGGATATTAGCCATAAAAAGGAATCAAATCTTGCCATTTGCAGTGACATGGATGGAGCTAGAGAGTATTATGATAAGTGAAATAAGCCAGAAGAGAAAGACAAATACCATATGATTTTACTCATGTAGAATTTAAGAAACAGAACAAACAAGCAAAGGGGAAAAAAGAGCGAACCAAGAACTAGACCCTTAACTACAGAGAACACAGTGACCAGAGGGGAGGTGGGTGGGGGGATGGGTGAAATAGGGGATAGGAATTAAGGAATGCACTTGAAATGGACACTGGATGATTAAAATAAAAACTTTTTTAAAAAATACTTTTTTCTTAATTAAATAGAGTGTATATCTGCTCTAATTGTAATAAGAAAATAGCAACTGCAATAGCAACTTTCAGGAGGCTGTATAAGGTGGTGATTAAGAGCATGGGCTGGTCATCCACTTAACTAGCTGTGTGACCAGAGCAGGACCTCTGTGTCTATTTCTTCATCTGTTGAATGAAGATTAAAAACAACACCTACCTCATAAGGTAGTGAATTTTAAATGGATTAAAACATAAAAAGTGCTTAGGTAAGTGCTGGCATGGCATATAGTACAGTCAGATACTAGCTCTCAATTATGCTTATAATTATTTTTAGAAACACTGTTTTGGCATCAGCTGGTTGTAAATATGTCTACATTATATAACATAGACTTTAAAATATAATTGTTTTGAGCTTGAATGTTGGTTATATCACATTTGAGGGCAAATTATTTCAGCTTTTTGTGCTTTTGTCATTAGCAAAATGGAGATATTAAGACTTTCTTCCCAGTGTTCTTATAAAGATTAAATGGGATCATGTTTATTAGGATCTCTGCAGAGTGGCTCAGTATATAGGCTAAGCATCCAGTAAATGAGGGAGGTGGCAGTGGTTGCAATGGGTATACTGACGGTGTGAGACAGTAGTGACAAGTGATTAAGAACAGGGGCTCTGTTAACGGAGATGTGGTGTAGGGTTGCTGTGGGATAACCAACTGAAGTCATGCATTAGCTTAGTATCTGGCTGGTAGTAAGTACTGAAAATGTGCTAGCTGTAGTGTTGTAACAGTAGCGAATAATGTTGAGTTATGTGTGCTCTTTTGATACTTGATTTCCTATAAATATGTTGAAGGCTTCAGGGCTTTTTTTGAGTTTTGAGTAAATGATTAACTTTTGTCTTGGCTTTTATTGCTCCTTTTCAGATTTCTGATCAGGATTGTTAAAATGAGTCTACGGAAGCAAACCCCCAGTGACTTCTTAAAGCAAATCATCGGGCGACCAGTTGTGGTAAAATTGAATTCTGGAGTGGATTATCGAGGTAATATTTTCATGCTTCGTCCTCACTGGTGCAACTAAATAAGTAAATATGACTTAACTGGTTTTTGTTTTTTGGTTTTTGGTTTTTTTTTTTGATAGAGAGAGGCAGAGACACAGGCAGAGGGAGAAGTAGACTCCATGCACTGGGAGCCCGACGTGGGATTCGATCCCGGGTCCCCAGGATTGCGCCCTGGGCCAAAGGCAGGCGCCAAACCGCTGCGCCACCCAGGGATCCCTTAACTGGTTTTTATTAAGCTCTTGAACATACCCAAATGAAGAAGCAGTGGTTACCAGTAGGTTTTGTGCCCATTTCTTTTTCCACTGCTGAGATGGTTCCCTTTCGAGACAAGGTGGAAAGCAGTGTGTGTGCTTCTGACTTCCGGTGTGATTTGTGTGACTACTGTCACCTGTCTCTGCTTTGAGACCGTATGTGTACGTTCTAGTAACAGCCAGGATTCTCAGCCACCTCAGGCATGAATAACTGGAGATGGAAGAACACCTGTCATGGCAGCCTTTGTTTTTGCCCAAGTATTCAAGATGGACAAGCAACTATTTAGACAGTGTCACCTTACAGCCTGAACTCCCCACCCTTCCGGTGTGCATGCTATCCAAGTACTCCTTCCCATTAGTTTAGAGGATGCTCTTTTTTTTTTTTTTTTTTTTTTTTTTTTAAGATTTTACTTATTCATTCATGAGAGACAGAGAGAGAGAGAAACAGAGACACAGCCAGAAGGAGAAGCAGGCTCCACACAGGGATCCCGATGCAGGACTGGATCCCGGGACTCCAGGATCCTGCCCTGGGCCAAAGGCAGGCGCTAAACCGCTGAGCCACCCAGGGATCCCCTGAGAATGCTCTTTTTAAGAGGCTGTGACACTACTGAAATTAACTTTGCAGGAGGAATGGTATCAAATTCCATTTTTTTAAAGTTACTGAAACCCTAATCTTCCAAAATTTAATGTGTTAATTACCTGGAATTTTTCCCCGGGTACGGATTACCCATTCATCAGCGGAGTAAAGCCTTTTCTTGTCTCTTTTCTGAATGAGGATGCTAATCTTGAGCTTTTTCCTCTTTCCACTCTTGCAAGCTTAATTTTTCTGAGAACTTCCTATGTGTCCAGTGTGTGCTAATCATTTCAGTTTCCAATTTATCTTCACATAAATCCTTTGAGATGTCTGCTTGTCCCTACCTAGCAAGGGAGTAGCTAGGACTCCCAACTCAAGCCTGACTTAAAAGCCTTGTTAAGGAGCCACTCTGCTGTTTATGTACTGCTTTAGTTTCTTGACATCAATAACCCAGTTTAATTTTATTTTTATAGTGGAAACTAATGGATTTATACTGAATACTGAGGTATAAAGTCTCTATGTACTGCTTCATACCCATGAACGTTTGATGAGCACAGAGGAGAGAATAGACTTTAAGAGATTTGAGCATATTCAACAGTTGGTTAGGGTGGGGACATTGCGTTCAGTATCTTCTCAGAACCCACTTCACTGAGGAGTTCAGCCGGCCTAGCCTGACTTTTTTCTCTCGTTAGGGATAATATTTTTATTTGTAAAGGTAGTATATGAATTTTTCTTTTTTTTTTTTTTCTTCATTTCATCTCTCTTTTCTAAAGAATTTCAAAGCAAATAATGAAGAAAAATATACAGAAGAAAGCAGTCTCCCCATCCAGAGAGAATCAGGCTAACCAGTTTGGACCTGAGTTCATATAAGCATAATTTCATATAAATGGGATCAGCTCTGCATACATTCTGATTTTTTTTCTTTTTACATTAAAAAAATATATTCAGTTCTCTGACAATATAGAATGTTTAATGCTGTATAGGAGTACCTTGTGGGGATGTACCACAGTTCTGTTTTTGTTTTTAACCAATTTCCTATTGATGGATGTGTAGGTGTTTACCAGGTTTTTTTTTTTGCTATTTTAAGTAAACAGCTTTTCTCCTTTGACATGTATCCAAGTATTTCTTTAAAATAAATTCCCTAGGCTAGGATTTCTGTGTTAATGAGTGTGCCAAGTGGCCCTCCCCTCAAAGCAGATGGGCTTATTCTTCTGTGGGTTCTCACCAACCCCTTCTTTTCAGCTTTTCCATTCTAATTGGCAACAAGTGATAGTTTCATTTTATTTCTGTTTTTTTTTTTTGTTTGTTTACTAGAGAGGTTGGAGGCCTTTCACGTGGCTAGTCACTGTCATGATTAAATTTTAAAAACCCAGCTCTTTGTAGCAATTTCTCTTAAACTTTGAAGAGAACTTTTTTTTTCCTGTTCTTCCTCGTACTTTATCCCTTTAGAGACAATGACAACCTCCTGGAACCTTTTTCTTAAATCAACCTTTGCAAGGAGAATACATAACTTTTTACTAGTGAATATTTCATTTTGAAATGCTTTGGGTTAACTTTCAAACATTTGCATATCACATTTTGGAAGTTTCTTGCTCACTTAGGATTGTGGTTTAGATATAAAATAATACAGTGGGAAATAAACAGGAAAGTTATATCTTAGGCTTTCTTTTGATGGGAAATAATTGTTAGTAATTGTTCAAATCTATTCTGATTATTTGAAAGTGTACAGCTTCTAGCAGAATTCTGTCAGATTAACGTCGTGTGTTCTCATTACACAATTTGGAAAAGAAACATTTTTGTTTAGAGGCAAATGAGGGCAGAGGCAGGGAGTGAGGAGCATATTAACGAAGTGGAGACTAAATGAAGCTATCGATTTGGCTAATTGTATCAAACTTGTAGTATTCTTAATTTTTTTTCCTAGATATTACCACTTGAAGTTAGAGACTCGGAGGCTTCTATATTTCCATCTTTTGAAAAAAATTATCAGGGCATGTTGTGCACAATTTATACCATCTCAACACAATTAAAAAGATTGACTCAAACAGTTTCCCTTAAAAGCTCTTTAGAATGTTTTTGGCCATTTTTCTATATTAGTCTGGATTTGAAAATATTCTAAGTGTAACAAAACAGAAAGGGATGTGTTATAATGCAATATGGTGCCCTGTCTTCTCAAGCTGCTCTTCACTGTGAGTCACAGCTTTAAGATGTTCCTTCAGGAGCACCTGCTATCTCCTCTTCTATTATTTTAACAGATTGTGGAGACTTCCTCTTAACCCTGGAGTACATTCATCTGCTGCAGTAGATGTTGCAAAAGAATACAGTAAATCTGCCAGACTCATATTTTACTTAGTGACTAAAGTAAGACGTGCCCCCTGGAAGCGAGGAGCCTTGGCCAGTGGTCATTTGTTCGTGCATAATTGCCCACTCCTGATTTTAGCTTTCAAAGAATGGTATTTTATTTGGAGTGTGCTTGTTACATTATTTTTGTGAAGGCTTTAGAACTTGCTGTGATCACACGTCCCATGAAGCAAGTGATAGTTTGATGTTTTCCCTGTTAGCAATGCGTCCATGTCTGCTTTCACACTGTATCCTTCTTAGCCTTCGTTCACATTGGCATAGAATGAAACTATTGAGTTTCACTTACAGCGTGAATTTTTATATTAAGGATGTGAGAGCTAACAAATAATGAGATTGTCAGCTCTAAGGTGTACCCTGTAATTTTCAACTCTTATTTGCCTTGTATATCTTCTCTTTGACTAAATCTGCCTCCAGGGGTCCTGGCTTGCCTGGATGGCTACATGAATATAGCCTTGGAGCAGACGGAAGAATATGTAAATGGACAGCTGAAGAATAAGTATGGTGATGCATTTATCCGTGGAAACAATGGTAATAATCTCTCGCTGTACAGTTGTGCAACATCCCCAAAGAAGCCTTTTTGTCTATAATCAGGATCCCCCACAGACTTCCTACATAATTCAAAAGTTTAGTTTTCATTTTGCATTGTTTATTTTTAACTTATTCTATCTCAGATCTTTACTGTGGCTAGTTTTTTTAGGATGCTTCATAGAATTTTGGAATAGACATTCTCACCTTCCCTCTCTCCACTAACAAGGACCTGAGGGGACACTGATTCAGAACCCTGAGTACAGTTTATTACATTCCCCCAGCACTGCCTCTCACATCAGAAGTTGGAGCTGTAAGAGTGGCCACTCTTGCCCCATTATCTTTGGTTTGCATCATTTTGCAGTTAGCCTGTCCTGATTGGCCTTTCTCTCTTAAATGTTCAGATGCTTTTTGTGGAGGTTGGCCTCCTTTAGTTTGGCAAAAATGACAAAATAGGAAAAATGATTCTAAAGTTGATCTGCTTCTTAACAACCAGTACATTGCTATGAATGTTATGACTACTTTTAAGTACCTTGTTTGAAAGAATTAGCAATGAAGTCATATTTGAATTTCTCAGGGGGAAGAGGAAAACATCAAAACTGAGAAAATTATCCTTTGACTCATCCCTCCCCCCCTTTGATCCCATCCCCCAAATGCAGCTCTGGGGCTCCTAAGTTTGGGGTTTTTATTGATGTGCATTCTTTAGTTCTGGGTAATTTCTTCCTCTTCCCTTATTAACAGTTGGGTCTCTGCACTGAACTAAATATCCTGACTTTTATTGTAGATATTTCTATCTCTAGTTCTTATAGTACCATATTTCTTCACATCCTATCTTTGTATAGATCTTTTGTTGGCTTTTTATCCTCTCAGCATGTAGAATTTCCTGTTTTTTTTATATTAGTTTTATTTTACTCCCTCCATTTATTGGAAATGTTATGATCTTTCACCATCTACAGACAGCTTAGAGCAGCAGTCACCTGTGAGTGGTGACAGGCTAGATCCTGTCACATGGACACTACCTCCAGGGTGTGTCCAGTTTCCTGGGCATGTTTCTACCATCATTCTGACATTTCCCTTCATATAACTTTTTCCATGATGAAATCAGTGGTAGATATCTTTAGACTCCCAGATTCATATCCTTGTCTCTTAAGGATTCTATTTAATCTGTGCTATGTTCTTTGATCAAGATACCTCTGAATGTTCACTTTGAATGGACGTGTCAGAGTCTGAGTAGGCGTGGAGGTGGGAAGGGCGGAACACCTCTGGTGAAAGCCTGACCACAGTCACCTAGTAATTAAGTTTTGTCTCATTCTTAGGTACCACATATCCCAAGGAGTTCATTTTGGGTGGTCATGAGGGCTTGCTGAGCAAACCTTTGGATAACACCAAAGGTTGATACTTTGGGAATTCAGGGATAAAATCCAGGGATTAAAGGGAATTCAGAATAAAGATTTTAGTATTTAAAAACAAAGCAAAAAACCCCCCAAAACTCCTCAGCTCTTCTTTATCTTGTTGTAATTAAAATAGTAAATAGCAGGTTTAAAGTTTATATTGGAAAGATGGATGAAAAAAAATTTTTTTTGAAAAAAAAAATTTTTTTTTTAAGATTTTATTCATTCACTCATGAGGGACACAGAGGCAGAGACATAGGCAGAGGGAGAAGCAGGCTCCACGCAGGGAGCCTAATGTAGGACTCAATCCTGGGACTCTGGGATCACACCCTGAGCCAAAGGCAGATACTCAACCGCTGAGCCACCCAACTGTCCCTGAAAATATGTTTTTAATTGTTTTTTTTTTTTTGTTTGTTTTTAATTGTTAACTTGAAGTTTAGTCTGGTAGATTTATGTTACTACAGGCAGAATTATTATAAAACGTCCTTAGATTCCAGGGATTTTCACGTCCATTTTATTTTATTCTCTTGGTCACGATTTGCAGTCAAATGTATAGTGAACACTAGAACACAGTCCTTGTAAGACATCAAATCCAGGTCTCGGTTCTTCAAATTTGGTTTTTAATATCATAGAATTTATTGTGCAGTATGAAAAATCCCTTCCAATTTGCAGAGATGTTAGGCCAAAATCTTTTTGCGTTTAAAACTTGCTATTATGATACTTTAGCACATGTTTTTTTTTTTTTCAGCGTATTTATTTTTTTCTTTCCAGTATTGTATATAAGTACACAGAAGAGAAGGATGTGAAGATGCCAAGAGGACAATCCTTTTCACACTTGGATATATTTTTTGTATGAGGGTTTTTGCTTTGTTTTGTTTTATTTTGTTTTGTTTTTTTGTATGAGGGTTTTTGCTTTGTTTTGTTTTATTTGTTTTGTTTTCTTTTGTGACTTGTCCTGTTTCATAATAGTTGGCAATTTTTCACTGACATGCGAGTGAGCGAAGGGCACAAAATTGTGGATGTAGTGTAAAGAGCTCCTCCATATTTAAGTTCCAGGCATCTTCTTTTCCCTCTGTGTCAGTGTGCAGAACACAAATGAATAAAAAAAGAAAATCCATTTCTCTGTACGTGATTTTTAACTCAAGTCTCAAGCAGTGTCATTTGATTTGGTTTTCTTTACCCTGTGTCTGAGGAAGGATGCATACGATGATAACTGAAACATTTTAGAGATGTCCTCCTCTATCCCATCTCCTTTGGCTTGCCACACAAAATGCTCGAGTGAAAGCGTTCTACAGAGGCATCCAGTTTCCATCAGAGGCCGTAAGGGGTTTGTGAGGTCAGAGGCTCAGCCTCCGATTCCATCACCCAGATAGAAAATAGAGCTGGGGACCTAAGGCTGGCACTTCTACAAAGGAAGTGGGACTCTGCATGGAGCTGGGGGAAAGTCTGAAGGTTAGTGATATCCCAGTTAGCTTGCTAGATTTTCTTGCTTTCTTTCAAGAGCATGGGCATCAATATCGTTCTCTAATTTTTATGGAACACAGTAGGAGAGGAGCCAGTTGTGTACCGCCATCTGTCTGGCAGTCCTGTAGATTAAAGCAAAGCCTGGACTTTTGTAAACTTACTCAGGTTCCAGTTGGTGAACGGTGGTTGGGGGGGAATTTTTCCTCACCCCCGGCTCAGGGAGGGGCTCTCAGGCCGCCTTTCTCTCAGATCCAAGCTGGGTTGGGGTGTGCTGTTGTCCCGGAGCAGCACACCAAGCATTCACGTTGTTTGGCACAAGGCGGCCTCCTCTGCATTATGGGACTCCTGCTGCGAGGGTTTTTACAGTTTATTAATGAGATTTCCACAACCCTGCTTTATCCTCTGAGCAGTGTATGCTGTCTCTAGGAACAGCAAATATATCTGAGCACTGAGGTTGAATGAACAGCAGACAATTGTGTGAATGTTATATTGGCCTTCCTTCTCCCTCCCTCCCCAAGCAAAACAGCATTTCTGTTCCAGGACCCGGTGGTGTGATTTTAAACAATTGCCTGGTTGAAGGATGTGGGGGCAGGACAGGGAAGGAGGGAAGAAAGGGGTGGTGCTGGTTCTGGAGAAGTGTATGTGGCCTTTAGTCTTGTTTTATTTTAAAGATCAGAGTAATTGGAAACAATTATTTTTTAATAACTCAGGAAAGGTGAACAGAAACATTTCACAAGGTTTTACTGTGTGCACACCAAAAAGAAAACACTTTATGCTATGCTTCAATAATTTATCACTTCTTGACAGGGGCTTGAAAAGGGTTCAGTCAGTAAGTACAAATCACCAGGACAACTTTTTTTCCCAAGTGGCGTATCAATCATAAACAACCCCCAGATCCCAGGTTTGAAACAACAAATGATGCTCACTCAGGCTCTACATCTGCAGGAGCCAGTCTGCCTCTGCCCGTTATGGTCACCCTAGGCTCAGGCTGGGGGAGGCGGGACCCTGAGTTTCTACCGTCTCTGTGTGACTCAAGGCTTGGTGCTGCAGCAGAGGAGCAGAAACAGTCACGCCTGGGCTCTGAGATGCTTTTGCAGGGGGGTGACACCAGTCACTTTACCTGCATTTTATTAGCCAAGCAAGTTACATGGCTGTGGTTTCCTTTAAGTTTCCAGGATTGAGAAGGAGCGAAAACCAGAAATGAACAATGGCAATATTTACCACAGTATATGTATTAGGATTCTTCAGAGAAACAAAACTAATAGGACGTGTATATAGATAGAGACTTTGAGAACTGGCCCACACAGTTGTGGAGACTGGCAAGTCCAAAATTTTCAGGGTTGGCTGGTAGGCTGGAGACCTGGGAAACAGTTGCAGTTCAAGTCCAGAGGCCATCTGCTGGCAGAGTTTCCCCTTCTGGGGAGGTCACTCTTCTAGTCAAGTCTAACCGTTTGGATGAGGCCTACCCACATTGTGGAAGGTAATCTGCTTTACTCACAGCCTGCTGATTTAAGTGTTAATCTCATCTTAAAAATACCTTCACGGAAACATCTAGAATGTTGGCCAAATACCGGGGGCCATGGCCTAGCCAAGTTGACACATAGAATGAACTGTTACAGGATCTTAGCCATATCCTTTGCATTATAAATTTCTCTCACAAAGACTAAGAGGTGGACCCAAATCCCAAACTGCAAAGTTTCAGATTTTATTCTTCATGAAAAAAGAATCCTTTCTCAGCTAAGAGTGGGGTTGAGGAACTGTGTGCTTCTCGCGCTTCAGTTGTCCCTTCATTAGATTCCAAAGAGAAACAGCGATTGGTTCTTTCCGTGGTCTCGAAAGCTGGGTCTGGAAAGATTGCCTTGGTTTGGTTGTTTCAGGATGGCTTAGAAATCCTGGGTTAAACATGTTCCTAGAGCTAAGAAGAATGCCAGCTCTCCGTAGAGCAGGTAAGCAGTGCCCCAGGCCGCAGAGGGGGGCGACGGCCCCGGGGTCTCTAGTAGGTCCCAGGTAGGCTCTGCGCCGCTGTGAGCGCGTACAGGCAGCACGGACCTCGCCCAGCCTCCTGTTACCTGTCACCTCTCGTGGTGAAGTCTGTGTGGCACCCACCTTTCAGTGTGTTTGGAACCCTCTACAGGTGCGTATCTTTATCCCGACAGAGTGAGCGTGCCGCCCCTCTTGTTCAAAGATGACCCAATCCATCAGGATGAGCTTCCAGGGCACAGACTGCTCACCATCCCCCCAGGTCCTCCTGCCGAGGTTCCCTGGCGAGTTCCCCTGCCCGGAGCACAGGCACAGGTCTCTGAGATGCCACCCATGCCTGTGGGTGACAGAAGGCCTCACGGGGGATCCAGGCTCCGCCTTGATTAGCATCTGCCCTAGTCTTCACAGCCTCCCTCCATGGTCGCGGAACAAGGCCAACCCCTTTCCAGATGTGCAAACCTCATGCAAAGAAGTTAGGTGACTTGCCCCGGGTCACCCGGGGACTCGCTGTAACTGGAATGGCAGTCCCCACAGCTCTTTGATCAGGTTCCTAAGTGCCAAACTCCTGCCCGTTGATTGCTTCCAGTGTGCATGTAACCGACAAAACAATCTTCCATTCTTTTTTTTTTCTTTCTTTTAAGATTGTGTTTATTTATTCATGAGAGAGGCAAAGACAGAGGCAGAGGGAGAAGCAGGCTCCATGCAGGGAGCCCGATGTGGGATTCCATCCCGGGACCCCAGGATCACGCCCTGGGCTAAAGGTGTCCCAAGACTTTATTTTATTCATTTATATATTTTTTAATATTGTATTTATTTATTCATGGGAGACCCAGAGAGAGAGGCAGAGACACAGGCAGAGGGAGAAGCAGGCTCCTTCTGGGGAGCCCGATGTGGGACTCGATCCCAGGACCCAGGGGTGACACCCTGAGCTGAAGGCAGACGCTCAACCGCTGAGCCCTCCAGGTGTCAACCTTCCATTCTTTCCCCTACTGGTCTAAATAAGAAGGCCCCAAGGCGTGCACACGGGCTGCCGTCCTCCTCATTCAGAGATGGTGTTGGCAACGGTGATTTGCTGTCACTGCTCCCACGTGACAGGAAAGATCGAATGACCGCCAGCAGCCCTTTACACACCGGCCACTGGCTGTAGACACTGTTGGCAGGGCCTTGCTTTTCTTGAGATGACTGTCTCTTAGAATTTGGTTTTCTCTCCAGAGTGTCCCTACTTGGAACGACTCCGGGACAGGCTGTTTGCCAGCGGCCTGTGGCTGTGTCTTCACGTTAGAGACTCGTCATCACATGCAGTACATACATAGGAGAGAAGTGGAGACAGGATCTCTGTGAGTCTCATCGCCTTTACCTTCCTGGCCCAGCTCTGACGGGATCCACTGTCCTCTGTCCCAGGCCATTTGCTCAGATGTCTAATAAACACAAATAATTTGGTGCCGCATCTGGAGTGAGGCCTGCCAGGCCACTTGACCACCTCCTCTACCCCCCTTCACACTCCCTAAGTGTGCACACACCACTCCGGCTGTGGGAGCATGACCCACACCATGAAGCCACTCTGCCCCCTAATCCCAAGTACCTGTGAGGCTTATGTAACATCCAACTAGGCCACGTTGGATTTCGTGTTAAATACGTTTTGTTTGCTATGTTTACTTATGACTTCACTTCTGTTGTTCTATCATTTCTCAGTTTATTATAGAAACTTTTTAAAAAGTCTTCTCTTAAAACCGATCACTTTGAGAACAGTGAGGACCAAGTCCAGGATGTCAGGAGACACCGTAGCCTTTGGTCAAAATGTCGTATTGTGTTTACATTTTAAAAGAAAAGATTAGTATCTATTTTACGAAATACTAAAATAGAGGTTGAAAGAGAATAGGCACTCCCCGCCCCCCCCCACCGCCCCCGCCAGTTAGAGCTGTGTTCCCAGGTGAATCTGTTTCTCCTGTTCAGGGAAATGAAAGTATTGTTTTTACTAAAAGGAAAAGCAGGTTAAATAATCCAAGCTATCAGACAGACAATTTAAAGACCAGTTTTTTTATTAAAAAACATTGTAGAACTTGTATATGATTACGTTTATTATTGTCATTCATTTTCCTTTAATGAATGAAACTTACCAAGAACCAGCACATTCTCTTCCTCTCCCATCTTTCCTCCTTTTTATGGGAGAGACTAGCTTTTAGACTTCACAGTTCCAGTTCCCATCACCACCCATCCCACATTAGACAGGCATTATTTCTCTCAAAGTCGCCCTTATTCTGAATTTGTGTCAACTTCTTTATTCTTCCGACAAGCTGACCCTTCCTCAGAGCTTCTGTGTGGAGGTGAAGGGGGTTTGTTAAAGTCACCGCCGAATCTCGTGGAAGCAAGACTCCTACCAAGTCAGTGACTCCTTGGAGGGCTAGTGGACGAACGTCCCCGACCGAGGTGATTTGGGAACTTAACAAAACATCAAGGAAGAGGTTGCCGTCTGCCTTGTGTAGTGAGAGACAGATTGCTGCAATGTAAATTGAACCAGGAGACCAGGTGAATTGTGGAGACTGGAAGCTCCCTGAGGGTAGGGCTGCTTTTTGGCTTTTTATCTCTAGTGCCTGAACGTGTTCTGCAGTCTTCCTGCTGACAGTTAACTTTATAGAAACAAAATCCTGATGCCCTTAAATAATTTACCTCTGT